GCTTCTTTCTTATTTATATCTATCTCATCCTTTCCTCATTACAGGACTAAAGACAGGCAGCTATTAATCCAAAATAAAGTTAAATAAAAATAAGCAAATTTCATAAACTGACATGTTAAAATGAAACACTAATTTTAAAACAATTAAATACATTTAAACAAACAAACAATATTTTATTATGGCCCAAAGACCTTATTGCACTGCGGGCATACAAGGTATGCAGCTAATGAGATTAAGAACATCCAGTTAATTGAACACTCAAATGAATGAAATTTACAACAGTTAAAAACTGCTTAAAATACATGTTGACTAAAGACAGAGGTAAAAGACTACAAAAAGTGCCAGCATGTTTCACCCTGTGTCTAAAATGGGGAATTGTCTAATTCTAGCTGCATCAGAAAGGAATTTGGCAACCTTCTGTACAAGCTTCATCTGAAGAGAAGGAAAGCTAGAAGTAAGTGTTCTGAAGCTGCTCTTCAGTCCTATGACGAGCAGGACCTACATTAATTTCATTTTGTAATTTCTATCACACAGGATTTGGCACAGACTGAAGCCACATAAGACAACTGGCTGCATCCAAAATCATTTTCAGACAAAGAAAACTTCTTTGTGAGTGCGAGATTACAAACAAAGAAGGAAGATGATGGGGTTGGGTTTTAGGACTGCTGATTTAGGACCAGCAGCAATAGATCACACCTATCGAAAGGTTGGCAGTTCAAAGCCCGGGTTGGGGTGAGCACTCGACCTTCAGCTCAGCTCACTGTCCACCTAAGCATTTTGAAAACAGCTGTGAGTAGAGAAATTAGGCACCACTTAAGTGGGGAGGTATTGTACGGCACCATAAAAAGGAAATACCAGAAAATGTCGGCGCTCAAAGAAAGCAGGAAGTCTGTGATCAAGGGCTCTTTGTCACAGAGGATTGAGTGACAGCACCCCCCTGTAGCCAGAATCGAGCATAACCCCCAGAACGCCGAAGTTGGGGAAAATGCCGACATATACCTCTTTCTGTTGTCTGTCCTGTCTGTTTAAACGCACTGAATGTTTGCCATGTATGTGTTCTGTGATCTGCCCCGAGTTCTCTTTGGGGTGAAAAGGACGGAATAAAAATGCTGTAAATAAATAAATAAATGATATCCTCTTCCTTTCTTTTGATCCATAACCATTGTTTTACAAAAGTACTGTCAATGGCACAAAAAAACTATAAATCCTCTTATGAGTGTATTCCAAAATGGCTATTAACTGCATTCTACCTTTTTATTTCCAAATACACACTTCTCTATTTAAACAAATATGCATGCATGAGTGCCTATGAATATTATCTCCATGACTCCTATTTAACTTTCACAGAAATGCTTTCTTTTGGGGCTTTCATTCAATCAAGTTACTTCTTACAGCTTATACATAATTATTAAAGAAAGCTATGAAAATGATCACACTGGAATCAAGAGATTTGATTTGGTATTTTGACCCTGATACAGAAATGAAAGATGGGACTCTTAAAATTATCACTACTGAATTAAATAATTGAATTCTAAAAATAACTACAAAAGAATGGTGAATTCAAAGATATAGTTGGGTTAATCTGTTTCAGCATAAAATGATATTAAGGAATACTATAGTACCTTTCAAACTAATTCAGAAAGAACACTCTGGCATACACTTTTGAGGATACCAGTTCATTTCACAGCTACTTCTCATATGATGTTTCAACACATAGCAAAAAGCCCCAGGAGAAGAGATCTACGTAGGCTTTGTCTAGTCAATGAAACATATTACTAGTACTACTATTTATTGGTTTATTCGATTTTATATGTCACTTTTCTCCCAATTAGGGACTTAAAATGACAACTGCACAGACATACTGTATACATCTCTTAACTAATTCACCTGAATGCTATGTGGATTTGTCAAGATATACCATATATATTACTGTCTCTCCCCTCATACATATCCAAGGTTTTATGAATTCCCAATGTTATTTCCTTATAATGGGACCAGGATAAGGAAGATTTTCACCAAGACAGTTTGATAGTGACACAAACATATCCATAATGCCTTCAAATGACATGATCCATGAATGACATCACCTACACCTGGTATTTTATTTCAGTGTATAATATTTTAATGCTAACTTCACTGAGTCACAGCACAAAAGATCTACTTCCATGAGAGCAAAATGAATCCTTTTTTACCTGAAAACCCAGAGCTAGCAATACAGCAATTAGGGTGATTTATGGTTCCTAGTCTACCCGAAGTTTAGGTGTTATGCAGACACATTGGATACCGATATAATTAGGAGGCACGAACACAGGGAACCAATAAAGGTGTCCTAGATTGCCAATTATTTTTCCTACTAGCTTGGCGTTACTTGCTTCTAAAGAATCTTGTTATTGACTTCCTGATTTTACCCATGGCCATATATTTATTTCAGTTATGTCTCATTCTTTATGCTGAATCTTTGGAGACACAGGACTTCTATCAAATTTGACAAAGAACAGCACATCCCTGAGCACCTTATCAATAAATGAAATGTTAATTAAAAATCTACCGTAAAACTACCTGCAGTTTTTCTTCGCAAACTGCAGTTCACATTTTTGGCAAGTTTTAAAAGAACCAATGTGTTTGCACTTATGAAGAGTAGATTAGCAGAAAAAAATTAAATATAAGTTATTAAATACAATGAACCAAATTAACAGATGCAGAGTCATTTCTCCACAGCCCCATATGCATAGAGAGCATAGAAGCAATACAAATAAAACAAATAATACCCACTCCCAAATACAATAGGTAAGCAGCCATGCCTTATTTCAATGTACAGGCTTGCTTCAGTTAACAAAACCTCTGACAAAGAAGGTTTTTTCCAGAGTCTTTCTATGCCCTCCTAATCCCTTTTTCTTCCTTATCCTCTGTCTAGCTGTGTGGTTCCCAACCTTTGGTCCGCAGCCCACCAGTGGACCGCAAGAACTAAAATGTGGTCCGCAGCTTCATCATTATCACATCATGTTACAACACCCCGCGGACCACACTCCCTTTCTCGTGACCATGCACTCATGGCAAGGACGTGAGAGAAAGCTGTTAGGGAAAATTTCTTCAGTCTCGTGTTCTGCTTTTAGTATTTTTTTTTTAACCTCAGCCTCCTTCCCTTCTTTTTTTTATACGAGTGTTAACAAAATCCATGGATAAAAACACAGGCCTACCAAAAAAATATTTTTCTTGGTCTCTTCATTTTTAGGCCTGTTCCTGGGGTTATTTGGGGTGCTGATTCAGAAAATTGCATTGGATAGACCACATCAGCTCTAGATTATTAAATATGGTTTTATGTGGGCAAGCGGATGGTGACTACTAGATGGCATATGTTCTGCATCAGAAACTAGAGCTGATGTGGTATATTCAGTGCAATTTTCTGAATCAGTACCCCAAATAACCAAACCAAATCTAAAGTTGACCAAAAACTGATTCATAACCTTTTTGGTAGTAATGTTGGAGAGTGGTACTTGGTCAAGTGGTCCCTGGTCAAAAAAATAAAGATTGGGAACCACTGGTCTAGCTACACATGTTTAGCAGTACTTTATTGGGATGGTGGTGAAGGGAGGTGTAAAAACAAATACTTTTACAGCAGGATGTCTGCAGTAAAGTATGCAATAAAACATTTCCCCTGGTAATAATAGGACTCTGATCCATCTGTGCCTGCCTGCCTACACGAGGCAACAGTGGCTGTCTCCAGAATTCCTCATGGACTACAGGCAGTCCCAGAGTGACAAACATCCAACTTACTTATGACTCATAGTTACAAACAGGGCGAGATAGCAGAAAGTGAGAGAAATCTACCTCTAGGAAGGGAAAACACTCCTGAAAGAGTTATCATGGGGAAACGGTGTCTCAACCAATCTTTGTTTCCCCAACAAGCCTTTTTTTTTTTCAAAATCCAATCTCACCAGGACGGAAAGTGAGGTGAAAACTTCTGAACAGGGTAACAGACAGCAAAGCAAACCCCACGGGGGTTTGTTTTGCTGTGCCAGCCAAAGCTGGAGTTCCATTTCAAACATGTACCTGTTACAACTTACAAAAAAATTCAAGTTAAGAACAAATCTCCAGAATCTATGTTGTTTGTAACTTGGGGACTGTCTGTATACTACATACCAAAACAGAGAGAAGGGGGGAAAACAAATAAGCCTGCCTCAACACTATCATCTATATAAATAAAAATGTAATGTTCGTTTGTGGTATTAACACAACTCAAAAACCACTGGACGAATTGACACCAAATTTGGACACCAGACACCGAACAACCCAATGCATGTCCTTCACTCAAAAAAATTGCTTTTGTCATTTGGAAGTTGTAGTTGCTGGGATTTATAGTTCACCTACAATCACAGAGCATTCTGAACCCCACCAAAGATACAATTGGGCCACAGAACCCCTATGTGGGCCACAGAAACGCGTGGCAGGGGACGGCTAGTCATTGTATTAAAGAAGCTTAGAGCTATGTATTTGGTTACTAACATGGAAATCATAAAAAGAAGTGGACACTAATGAAAGAAAACAAATAATTGGTCTTTCAATCATTCATAATGTTTTTCTTTATGTTTCATTTGATATACGCACATTGTTGGTTTTGTATGCAAAGTCTGCTCAAGCATGTTGAACTGCTCTCTCGCTCTTTTTGTAGCATAGAAATTGCTCTCTAATCATTACATATTATTTTTGCCCATGTTACCTTATTTTCTGTTGAAGAAATGATGTCCAGGAACAAATCTATTATGTTAACTGAGATATATCTGTATCTATTTTGCTGAACCAAATTCTTAAGGAAAACAAATTTTAAAGCTCCCTTTCACATGCTAATATTTTAGCACACAACACAAGTCCCAATTATTTTGTAGACAGCATCTGTTAAAAAACTATTTTTAATAAAGGCTCATTTCTAGATGCCATATATTTGTCATTGTTGCTTTTGTTTCAGCATTCAAAATAAATACAGGATAATACTGCTTCCTTACCTCCCTCTCAGACTCTTTAGCTCGTATTCGTGCTCCATTGTTTTTCATGTTACGTGCATTGTCAAGCTGAGCCTGAAGTTTTGCAGCTAAATCCTTGGAAGAGAACAAATGTTGCTGGATTTAACTGTATTGTCTTCTAAACAAGAGCAAACACATATTCTCTTAAAATAAATATGTTTTACTTTTAAAATACCACTCTACAAAAATATAGTCAATTTATCAGATAAACAAAGATTTACACAGGAATAACCAAATATCTTAATGTCAGCTGTTTGTGTGCCAAAGAAACATCAATTCAAAATATTCAAGAAAATTCTAATGTGGTTTTTAAAGCAACTAGAAATATATTTTAGTAGGTGGGTTTAATTATCTAGGGGCTTCAGATCTTCCAGATACTATGAACAATGATTTCTCTTTGGAATAACAGTTAAGTTATATAGCAATTATACCACATACCTTGTTTCCCATTAATTCTGCTTTTACAATTCTAGCTCCCAGTTTGTTCATGTCCTCATCACTAAGAATATGGGAATTCTCATCCTCTGAAAAAGGCCTGATCAAAATACACAAAAATTAGTCCGAATGCAGAACGTGGAAATGTAGTTCACTGTCCTAACTTGAAAAATGGGAAATACTTGTGCTTAGAAGAGAAAAACCTAGGGCAAACCCACTATAATACTACAGGGGAGGTTCTCAGTGGTTTACAAGCAACCTATTGCTGGAGGTACTAGACTACACTGCAGTTTTGGTGAAAAAAAGAAAATTTCCCAATTAACTCTTCAAAGGAGACTACTTTAAGTTCAGAGGTAGACCTGTTGCTGCTTTGGATTTTCTTTTCAAATAGCTCCCATACTTGTTAGAAGTAGTCAACATTTATTTTTATACCTTCTGTCAAGCTGATTTTTGGTGGGGGAAGCAGGAGAGGAGCAATACAGAATTTCACAAACTGGAAACTATTTCAAAGAAAAAGAACTGGGCTAACAAAGATTGCCAAAAATATTTGCCTGTCACCCTCATTATAAAAAGAGAGGGTACTTTGTTCAATATTATGAACACAAAAGTGAATTACCACTTTTGCTTGAGTCAAACATTCACTTTTTTTGGCTAAATTATATTGCCAAAATTGAGGTGCGAATTAGATTCAATGGCGCATTAGAATAGTGCACATAAACCCACTTGCATGAAAAGGTCTGAAGGCACCCAGAACTCTGCAGGCCATAAAGGGAGGACATACATGGAGTCCTGGGACTGGGGGGGGGGGGGCAAGTTGCTATTCCTGGCATCAATGAGAGCCTCATAAGCACAGATCCTGCCTCCTGGGTGGCCCTTGAGGTCTCTCACCTGCCTGCCCCCCTCCCCGAGGCTCAGTCCCATGTGGTTCCCAGCTGGTGTCATTCACAAGGCCTTCAAAACCCCTCCCCCTTGGTTTTCCAGGCCTTGTGAATGAAGTTAACTGGGAACCATACAAGGCTGGCAAATTTGCTGCCTGGCTCCCAGACATGCTATGCCTATGCTATTTGGTGCATTACATTCAAGGGCAAATACATTTTTTGTAATGTGCATCTTCAAAATTCAGGTGTGCATTACATTCTGTGGTGCTTTATGCTTGAGCAAATATGGTACATGACATGGATTTGGTGAACATGTCTTTGGCTGCTCTAAGATACTACAGGGATAGCATTAAGGATTGTTTTGAAAATGTCCCTCATCAAACTGAACAATTATTTAGATTCCAGGGGAAATCTGGCTTTACATAAAATAGAAAATTGTCTCAACTGCTGTATAAAACCATAAAAAATCCACCATAGTGGTTTGTATTTATGACAGTGGTTATCTTTCAACTCTGCTAGAACCAGATCCTTGAGCTACAAGTTATCAATAAAAGGTGTTTACAAAAAAGGATGCTTTAGCTCGAGACCCTTCTTGCAATACAGGGTTAGCCTCAATGACCTAAGAGACTCCTTCCAACTCTGTGATTCTATGACTCTATTTCATAGTGAACTTTGTACAACCCCATTTTAGAAAGCTTCCCAAGGACCAATCCAAGCTTTCCGAACAACAACAGGAGATTTAGCAATTCTTCTCAAATCCTGTACTCATAACTCTCATTCCCATAAGGACTGCACCACAAGGGGAATGCAAACATTACTTGTAAGGGGGGGGGGGGGAAATTGGGTGAATCTACCCATCAATTCCGCTTTGTCAAAGTGTGCTTGACAAAGAAGCACAGAAGTCTTTCAGCCTTCCAAAGCATTTCAGGTAAGTGCATCAGCAATGCATTTATTCACTCTGAAGAATCAGAAACGCTTCAATCCGCATCCCTTCTCTTTGGCAATTTTTAAAGCCCTCTTATTTAATCAGTGTACAGCCATACTTCATTGCCTTTTCATTTGAAAAACCAAGCATCTTGTCTGCATACTAATACAAATACAGGAAATGAAAGGAAGTTCTGTTAGATGTATTAGATGTATACGTGAGAAACTTTTTAGTTGATTATGTTTTATAGTCATTGCTTTTTTTCAAAGAAAAGGGAATAGATATAAACAGGATCCACTGGTATTATACAGTACATTTTCATTTTGTGTTAAAAGTACTAATTTAGTCTCATTTTTATCAATAGCAATCTTCAAGGATATCCAAAAAGTAGTAGTGAAAGCAAGACGATGAAAGTATTGAAACAGGTTGTCCCCAAAACAGAATCACAATGCTTGAAATGTGATGGCCTTGGTTAGCAGTAATTCTATGATGCCTCTCTTCTACTTTTGACCCATTATTAGATACATTTTAACTTTTTCATAAAGCAGAAAGTTGATTTTAAAAAATTACATTCCTCAGAAGGTATGCATTAAGTTTATACATAGAAACCCAAGAAAACAAAATTCTTTATTACCCTGAATATGATGATTTGCTGTCTAACACCTCCTTTTTCCCCAAAGTGTCCTCTTGTATTTCTTCTTGTTTGTCTCTTGGATTGTTCTCCTCCTCACTCATAACAGTATTCTCATTTCTAGATGTTTTTTCATCAACAGTTGCCTTTCCAATTTGTTCCTTTGGTTGTGCTTTACGCCATCTTGGAATAGCCTCATCGTCATCGCCAGGTTTTCTGAAACCATAACCCATAGAACCAGGAGTAACAAATTGGGATGAAGGACGCAGTGGCTTGCTTTTTTGGTTGTTATCATCATCAGGTTTCAAGAACATAGCTTTTAATGGTTTCAAAAAGGGGCTCTCATAATTTTTCATATTAGAATCCTTTGCAGTTCTATAAGAAAAGTCTTTTAGTGCAGATTCCTTATTACTCTGTCTTGGTTCTCTGTCTTCTGTTAGTTTGTCTCTTCTGGAACTTCTCTCTCTTGGCGAATAATCATCATTATATCTTTCCTTAGAATGTTCTTTATATGAATGTCTTTCTGCGCTGCTTTCTTCTTGCTTGTCTCTTGCATCTTTCTGCCTCATACTACATTCTGTTCTTGAATAAGAACTTTTTTTCCAGCCTTTTTCTTTTTGGGCTGCAGAAGCCTCCGCTTCTTCCAATCTTGAATGAAATAGCTCCACAGACTATCAGAAAAGGAAAAGCATGGGACTTCAGTGTGAAGAAAGCAATTGAGAACATAGTCACAACTATTAATTGTTAAATGAACTGCATCATAAAAGGTTACAAGTTCTACAAATTTGTTAAAACTTCATCACAAATTCTTGCTGTTTATTAAAATTTTGACTGCTGTTCTTCCAGTGAGCTCATCATTCCACTCTCTCCACCAATCTTCAAATGGTCCTGTGAAGATCAGACAAAATGTATGCCCCAGACCCAGCTAGTCAACTCCTTAACTAATGGAAGATTTAAATCCAAAATCCCTAGTCAAGGCTATATAGATATTATGCCACACTGACTTTCTGGTGACTCTTTCATACTTATTCCAGTCTAATGCATGTTCACGCAGAAGTCACCGTATGGTTGAGAAAGGTGGGCTATAAATGTCGTAAATAAATAAATAAGTCCCATTAAGACAAAGTCTTCCAAAGTGAACCCTGTAAGATCAACATTTGCCATATGACAAGTCTCCACTGAAGCAAAGTGAGTATTGCATTTCAAAGCAATGTATTGATGATACATAAAATGGCATTGGTCAAAATTCATTTCCTGATTTAGGTACACTTAAATAAGGTGCATCTTATTTCTTTTCATCTTGTTTGCCATGTTGATAGTCACCATTTATGTCAATTCACTTTTCAAGGGGAGCTGCAGTGGCGCAATGGGTTAAACCCTTGTGCCGGCTGAACTGCTGACTGAAGGTCAGTGGTTCAAATCTATGAGACAGGGTGAGCTCCCATCTGTCAGCTCCAGCTTCCCATGCGGGGACATGAGAGAAGCCTCCCATARGCATCCCCTGGGCAACGTCTCTGCAAATGGCCAATTCTCTTACACCAGAAGCAACTTGCAGTTTCTCAAATCGCTTCTGACACAATAAAGCAAAGAAACTTTTCATGGATTTTTTTCAGAGCCTAGAATACAGATGGATTTTCTCCCTACTCTCTACCTCCCCTAAGTAGTTGAATTATGTGATTGCCATTTTATGACAGGATTATATTACTGCATACATTGGGATTTTGATCATTAACCAAACATTTTCCAGTATAACTGTACACGTAACAAAATAATCCAAGTATATACTTGCTGCATTTATATACACAAATAAATGTGTGGGAAGAAATACTTTCCCATTGTACAAATATTTTTACAAGGGATAGATATTTCCCTTTCAATACCTACCCCATATCTTTCAGCTACAATTTCATCCAAATCCCGTTTTTCTCTCTCAGATTGTTCTTTCATTCTCTGGTAAGATTTCCTCAGCCAACCTAACCCACCATCTTCTACTCCTGCCACTACAGAAATAAAGCAATGAAATTCAGTTCTTGCACAGTGTAAATTAATACTGTAACTTGATAATTTACTGCATATGCTTTGCATCACACACCTAACATATGTTTGTCCGGAGAGAAATAGGTTTAACGTGCCAATGTGAGCTCATGTTCTTAGCGTTATCTGGAAACACAGCCAACGTCTCTTTACTTAAAAGAAATCAATACTTGTCCTATCTTGAAAGTTTTCATGCCAATCACATTCTGTGAAGAGGCTTCAAAAGAAGGCTTAAACCAATGAATCCTCAAAAGAAACTGGCTACTCAGTTTCTTCTTGAGAAATATTGCTTCTCACTATATATCACATCATATTACATCCACTTTGTAGGAAGATGGCAATTTCAAGTACTATGAAAAGCTACAATTAAAACTACAACCTATAGAGAAGGTGGGGAGAGAAACATATGTGATGACATCACGACAAAAATTAGGTTTATCTTACGCCCCATCCACACAGCTGTATAAAATCCACATTGAACTGGATTACATGGTAGTGTGGACTCACATAATCCAGTTCAAACCAAATATTGTGGATTATCTGCCTTGATATTCTGGGTTATATGGCTGTATTCTATTTGATACTAAGGTTCCATGAACAGTGCAAATTTAAACTACATTTTATGAGCAGTGTAGATTCATATAACGCAGACTGAGCTGCATTTAACTGGATTGTATGACTCTACACTGACATATAATCCAATCCAATGTAGTTAATCTGCATTCTGAAACTGCATTATATGGCAGTGTAGATGGAACCTAAGAGAAAGGGAGATGATGTCAACAGGTATTAAATAGTAATTGGCTGCTGATTAAAGAGATGATATTAAAAGGAAAGTATTTTTTCTCACTTAAATTTAAAAGGGTAGAAATCAAGAATGAATACACAAATGTAAAATGTGTCACTCTTTTTCATTATGTTTACATATATCTTGCTGTGCTTTGTAGTGTTAGATGTACTCCATATTTTCAGTTATGTTTGTGTTTATGTATTCAATTTAATTCAAATATATATGTACTAAATATATTAAATCAACAAATAGACAAAATAACCCCAAAGGGGAAAAGCCTGAACCAAGAAGCACTACATAAATAATATTCTTCACCACTTGCATCCTTAATGCATACACTTCATTTCAAATGGGATTCACAGAGTTCATCAGCTGAATATTTTAAAGATGCAATTTGTGTAATGGAATGAAAGAGACCAAATGAGATGACAACCATTCATCATATCCTGGTACAATCAGATCCTTTCTTAATTAGTTCACAGTTTAGAACTCCATTGTATAAACTGAAGGTCAAACTACTGAAGATTCAATAGGAAAGAAGGAAGGAGAAAGTTAAAAGTATTCAGCAAATCTATGTGCCAGTTTTGCTATAGAGTTCAAACAAGAACTTGCACACAAATATTATGTTTTCCATGAATACTTATGAAGGGTTACAGGGAAGGAAAAAAATACTAGATCTTACTGAAAAGGCCAAAAAAGAAAAAGATGGAATTACACTGTAACTTTGCAATTTTTATAGTAGGGTGGTGTTACCTTTTGTTGATGATGTTACTTCTTGTGGTGGTAAGCCTGTGCCTCCATCTTTCCAATATGGGTTGAGCTCTCTTTCAGCAAGCAGAGACTATTTAAACAGCAGCAAAGATCAATCAAAGCATGATTGATGCCCCCCTCCATGCCCCACTAAGTTCATTTTAGTCTTTTCAATACGCATGGTTGACAAGTTTTTTAAAATATCCAATTTTCTAACTGAATGAAAGAATAAGATTCATCCCTTTTCGATCTGCATTGTGCTAATAAGAAATACATTTAATTCTGATAACAGGTAAATTAATGCTTGGCTTCCTTCATCTAGCTCAAAATAAAAAATACAGAAAGCTTTCCCATTTATTTCTTTCATCCCATAAATCTGACAAATAATGTATTTTAGGCATCAACAATGGGATGTTTAATTAATAGGATACGCAAATAATTAGTTCTGTCTTTGTGAATCATTTTGTGTTTAAAGAAAATCAGTGGCCGCCTCTCAAAGTTGCCTAACAAAAAGTTCAAATCATCAAGAATACTCTCTGGATAAATGACAGTGGTGAATTTTGTTCAGCATATGAAGCTCAGACACATGTCAGATCCAAAAGGGGCTCCTACCACCATTTTAAGGAGGTCCAACTAGATTTTTAGAACTTAGAACAAGAGCACCATTGATATTTCCCCAAATTACCTGGGAAGCCCAATTCAGTGATTCACTGATTATGACAGAGAGAAAGCCCTGCAAGAATGAGCAGCTCAAATCCTTCCCTCATTTGCTATTATGAGAATAGCAAAATACCAGAGCCTCTCATTTAAGAGAGACATTATCAAGACTTCAAGTCATTTTCAGAACCTGAGCTATGTCACAGAACTCACTACTGGTCTGGTAGACTTTATGGATCAACTTGCCTATTTGAAAGAATCCATAATTCTAAAAATTGTGCATACATATTTACTTGCACATACTGTTTTCACATTGTCACTCTTTTGCATCTCCTCAAACTTTACTCACACCTTAGACTTCGTATCATTTTTTCATCACTACTTAAAACATTTTACATAGCTTCAGTCAGTCCCCAAGATATGCCCTCTGGCCCCCAAAGAAAACAATCTGATAAGACATTGCATGGTATAACACAACAGAATTCAGTACTGATTGACAAGACATTTGATTCAAAATGAAGGACAGCTTATTGAAGAAATCTAATTTTCAGGCAATCAGCAAGTACAACTAGCTTATAACATGAGTGGTGTGTATGTCATTGCTCTAACCCACCTGTTCATGTGCTTGGGCTTTCTGTTGTTCCAATAATTTTTCCTTCTGCTTTTCAGCCTTCAGCAACGCTGAAGACAATGTTTTGACAGACATAAAATCTAAGGTCATCCATTCATCCCTCTGCAAAAAAGAAAGAAAAGGAGGAAAGAAAACTATCTTTCCACATCAAAACAAATGTACCTTTGGGAAAAATAAAAATAGTCAGCAAGACAGATCTTTAGGAGTAAAATCAAACTTTAAACTATGTTGAAAAATGAAATGGCATGGAAGATGTCATTATTATTAATAATAATAATAGTAATAATAATAATAACAACAACAATAACAACAACAATTTTATTTCTTATCCACCTCTCCTTGTGGCTTGAGGTGGGTTACAGAATAATTAAATGTATTTCTATAAAAGATACATATTAAAACATATTTATATAAAACACATATTAAAATACACAGAGAAGAGATTAAAATACAGGATACGACTTTAAAATCCATGTTTAAAACTGGATAAGTAGGCCTTCCGGAAGAGATAGGACTTTAGATGGTTTTAAAATTCTGACAGCTCATTTAAGCTGTTGGAACTCTTCCGGCAGATCGTTCCAGTCTTGGGGCCTCTGGATGACGATCGCCAGTTGGGTTCAGGCTGGAGTAGCCACCCCCCTGAATCTGTAAATCAGTTTTTCCATCTCTCTGTATGTTTTCACACATACATATTAAATGTTATTATCTTATGTATTTATAAGTGAGCAAAGTGCTCCATATCTGGTCTCAGGGAATTATAATTGCATACATATTTATATCAAGTTTGAGAACATGAGTTTTTCATTTCTACACTAGGATCTTACATTTTTAAAATCATTTCTTCTGGACAATTTAAATAACTCAAAACTCAAGAGTGCTGAAAAATTGATGCTCGTCTTTGCACATAGCTTCCGTCTTTGCTATGTCCAATTTGGCAATAGCATCCTCCATCATGGAGCACAGGTGCACAGCACAGCTCTTGTGACGTCCAGTTACTCAGACTGTGCCCAGACATCAGATGGACCATTAAGTGGCTCTAATTAGTCTACATATTTATTTGTGCCTGCACTTGGAAGCCCTAAATCATATTACCATGTCAACAAACAGGTTGAAGGCCTTTAAAAAAAATAAAGGGGAAAAATGAAACCAAATGAATGCCACTAACTATACAAGAGAATCTGCTATACAAGATTAATAAGGCAATACTTTCCTGACTTAAAAATAGACAGTAAGCAACAGATGTATATTTTATGTTCAGTGAAGAACCTAAGAACATTTTCACATAAGCCTTCATCATCTTTACTACAGGTGAGAATGCTTTATCTGAAAATTCCAAATATACAATCCAGAATTGGCTAAATACGTAGACGAATTTAAGACACTTATTATGAGTGCCTGAAATAATGAAACCTTTGCTTCCTTACAGTTCAGTACACATACCTTTTCTCATGCAAACAAATATTTAAAATGCTGTTTACAAAACTACCTTTAGACTGTGTGTATAAGGCGTATACAAAACATAAACAATTTGTGTTTATACATGGCTCCATTTCCAAGATATCTCAAGTATGTAGATGCAAATATAAGATTCCAAAATCCAAAAAAATTACATTCCAAAACATACCTGGTCCCAAGCATTCTGGATAAGAAATATTCAACCTAAGCCTCTTTTCGTTGCTATAATTAATCTTCAAATAACCACAATAGTAATCAATAAGAAATACTATATAAAAAGCACCATCAAAAATGTGCTGGAATTCATTCAACACAAATAAACAGCACCTGCTGAAAAACCATATTTAAAACATCCATCTGAAAGACTACAGAAGCTGCCCCCCTCCAAACTATAGTTTCATCATCAAATTTGCTAAAATCACAAAAAATCAGAGTGGCTGGCTTGTGAAAGCAAGATTTTTATGCTTAATGAAAACCATGCATAAACACTGTAATTTGTCATATGATAGAAATGATTTTTTCCTGCTTTTACAGAGGTGATATTTTACGGATTATTATGAACTCAAAAGCATTCCCAGGAAATGGAAGAGACAATTTCCTCACTAAAAATGTTAACTGGTACCTATTTTAGTGTTGTTCTGGAACCAGGTAAAGTTCATCCTATTTTCTCCTTTAATACCAGAAACTTTTAAGCAGCTGTATTGATTCTGTTATAATTACTACAGTTGTTTTTATATTGTATTATTTAATTCTCTTTATGTAAACTGCCTTGAAAATGGTATTGAAAAGCACTATGCAAGCTATTAAGTAAAACTGAAATACAGAAGAAATGACACAACAGGCACTTGAAAAATCTGCCAAATTAATGCTGACCTTTAGAAGGAGGTTTTATGTTTATTTTTTTTAAAAAAACAGTAAAGAATAATGCAATTGTTATCTAACTGTTATAATGCCAGGCTATTTGTTTCCTTAGGCCCATGCCGGATAAGTAAGTGTACAGCCTGGAGACAGAAAAATTGACTTAGAAGGGAAAGGCGAAACATTTCATGGTCAAAATTATGAGTGAGAAAATAAGAGCAATAGTTAAGCAATGAATAGGGAGACAGGAGCGCAAGAAGGTCATGTGAACTCTTGTGGATGGAGAACAAATGTTAATTAGAAAAAAAAATGCAGATCAAAAAGATGTTTGCAGCAAAAAAGATGTTTGCTGCCCATCATTCTTTATACAGGTCTAAACACACACGTCACAGATTACCTATATTACTTAAGTTACAAATGTATTCAAAATCACAAGTCAGGGCCAACCTCTAAAGTAGCAGTTCCCAAACGTTTTCAGTCATGGGATCCTCCAGAAGACATTTCTTTCCCTGAGAAACCCTAATTCTATCCCTGATTTTTTTTTTCCAAGTCTTGTGAACCAACAAAGTCCTTCTTTCTTTCATCTTACTCCTATTGCCTGAGTATCTTTGTATAATGTAGGTTTGGAAATAAAGAGAAAATATTATAAACATAACCAACTTTTAATTTGCTCCAATAAAATATTGGATTCATACCTAATGTGATAGATAAAAATTTTCGTTTCATATTTGTACTTAAAGTAAATTTTGAAATTAGGCTTTATGTTCGACAGTTGAATAAGTAAATCCAGTGCAGTATCCAACCTACTCCTATGTTTGTGGTATAAGCATAAGCTGAAAAGGCTGGTTAACATCGATAGGTGGATGCAGAGGGGAGCAGAACTTGGATAGCCTTTCTGGCTACTGACGAGTATATTTCTATCAGTCCTACCCAAAAGTCATTCAATGACACAGTTCAAATGTTGTTTTTAAAGCGAAGAGGCACACTAAATTTCAGCAAGATCTTCACACTCTGGCATAGACAACATGTGAGGTTTGCTGTAAGTTTTCTGGGTTGTATGGCCATGTTCCAGAAGCATTCTCTCCTGACATTTCGCCCACATCTATGGCAGGTATCCTCAAAGCTTGTGAGGTCTGTTGGAAACTAGGAAAGTGAGGTTTATATACCTGTGGAATGTCCAGGGTGGAAGAAAGAACGCTTCCCTGCTTGAGGCAAGTGTGAATGATGCAAATGGCCACCTTGATTAGTATTCAATGGCCTTGCAGCTTAAAAGCCTGGCTGGTTGCTGCCTGGGGGAATCCTTTGTTGGGAGGTGTTAGCTGGCCCTGATTGATGTGAGGTTTATTTCAGGCGTCAAATGGATTTTACATCCATCAATGGCCCTGCTAGTGTTTTGGAAGTACCTCTCATACAGTTTTATTTTTATATTCATTTAAAATTGGGTTTTCAAGTTTTTTCGCAGAAACCCTATGATGCTTTTGAAGAATCCTAGGGTTCTGCAGTACACAGTTTGGAAACTGCTGCTATGGGAAAGTTACTGATTTGGCACTTACTTTGACTCTGTGTCAAACTGACAAGAAGAAATTACTCTTTGGAATAACTAACTACAGATAGTACTGGATTGCCTACTAGATTATCTATGAGCTCCCTTCCAGCTCTCTCATTCCAGGTACTTACCTGAACTGCCACAGGATTTTCTGCATTGTCTGATTGTTCCTTTTTCACCTTCCATGTCTTTTCTGTTTTCGAAGACTCTGGTACAGCAGCCTCCACCCACTCCTCTGAAGAATCCTAAGAACATGCGTGTCAAATCATGAAATGGGTCTTAAATAACTGGAAAGGCCTTAGAAGTCTACCTAACAATTCAAGTGTCATTTTAATGCCTTACCGTCCCTATCCATGCCAACAAAAATAGTTAGATACTGTCAAAGGGTTGCTTTTATCAGGCAGGGATGGGGAGCATAAGGGTGACACTTTAGACATTTCAGAAAAAATAATATTTGCGTTTGAACCTCTTTAGAAGGATCTACAGTCAGATTAAAATATGAATCAGGCAGAACTCTATCAAAAAGACATTTTCCTCACAGGACATATGGGAACCAACCTGTTCATTTGAAACAACCTTATTATCTAATTGGGACTATAGAGAACAATTAAATATTGAAATACACTGTAAAGGTTTGAACACACACACAGTGTCTTCTTCTACGAAAGTTGTTCCTTTAAAAGAGATTTAATAATAATAATAATCATCATCATCATCTTTATTTTTGTACCCGGCCTCCATCTCCCCAAAGAGACTCGGGGCACCTCATATGGGAACAAGTCCAAACAACATAGTTAAAAGATAACACATTAAATACACAACAACAGCATAAAACAATATAAAACAACATTATAACAAAATATAAAAGCAAACATCAAACCAACCAAAGAAGAAGAATAATCAGTTTCAGGTCACAACAGGGCGGACTGGTGCAAAAACAACTGTCAGGATAGGGCTGGTGGATAAAGTGCATAGATCATATGGGAGCAGTAGAGATAGAGGGCAAAGTGAAATGGAGCATTATAGCTTTAGATACAGAACAATAGTAAGGTGCGAGGACAAATTTTTGGGTCTTAACTGGGACCAGCAATCTAGCAAATTGTCTTGTCAAAAGCACAGCAGAACATCCCCGTCTTTAGATCTTTGCGGAAGATGGACAGGGTGGGTGCTAGCCTAATCTCCCTGGGGATGGAGTTCTAGAGCCGGGGGGTCACCACCGAGAAGGCCCTTTCTCTCATTCCCACCTGAGATTCAAACGGTACCTGAGATAAAGCCAAGATTCAATTGTTGCTAACCATACGGCTTTATTGTTGCACTGAGGTATATAAAATCTCATACTGGGGATTACTAGGGGCCCTTCCTCACAGCCATATAACCCAGAATATCAAGGCAGAAAATCCCACAATATCTAATTTGAACTGGGTTATCTGAGTCCACACTGCCATATATTCCAATTCAAAGCAGAAAATGTGGGATTTTATTCAGCTGTATGGAAGTGGTCTACGACTAAAAGCAACAATAATAATAATGCATCATACTTTTCTTCTTTTTTTGTAATGGTGTGGAAGAAAAAACAATATGATATACAGAAAAGAAACATAATCAAGCTGCAGGCAACTATATTGGCAGACAACTTTTGCTTTGTTATGGAAATAACTCACTGAAATATGAACAATCAAATGAAAGACTCCAATTTTTACAGAGAGAGTTATAATTTCCATAACCCCAGACAGCTGGACTGATTGAACCTTGTGGGAGCTGTCGTCTCCAGGCATCCTAGCAACTAGATATAAGAATCTGCATTACTTTAACTAGAAACACAAAGAAAATAACTTGCAGCTCATGGCCCATATTACTACATGGCAATAATAATGGAGCCCCCGGTGGCACAGTGGGTTAAACCCTTGTGCTGGCAGGACTGAAGACCGACAGGTTGCAGGTTCGAATCCGGGGAGAGGTGGATGAGCTCCCTCTATCAACTCCAGCTCCTCATGCGGGGACATGAGAGAAGCCTCCCACAAGGATGATACATCAAATCATCTGGCCGTCCCCTGAGCAACGTCCTTGCAGACGGCCAATTCTCTCACACCAGAAGTGACTTGCAGTTTCTCAAGTCACTCCTGACACGACAAAGTAATAATAATAATAATAATAATAATAAGAAGAAGAAGAAGAAGAAGAAGAAGACCTATATACTTATACCCCACCTCCATCATTCCGAAGGGATTCGGGGCGGCTTACATTATGTCCCCTAGGAACAACTGATAGCACCAATCACGGTTAATGCTGTGGTACTACATGACTCTAATACTGCTTGGTGCCCCCTAGAAATGGTTGGGAACATCAATCACAACCAATCAAAGACCATCACTAGAAACATCCCATTGAAAGAGATAAATATTAACTTGCTTGAATATTATGATGACCAACAGCAATTTGTGTTTGGTGTACCACAAAATGTTGAAGACAGGCAAAGCAGAAAGAACCTGATTCTATTCAAAAGGCTGTCTCCACTGGTTCAGAAAGCACTCACAAACACATAGAAATGGTGCCACTTACCAAGGAGTAAAGGTGAAGTCAGTGCTATTTTGTCAGCTGTCTGAACAATCTAGGCCTACCACCATTGCTGTGTTTAAAAAGCATTACTGTGATAAGAGACAAAGCTCCCTGCATAATGCTCCACCCATGAATCTCAGAATGACTCTAGTCACTTCCAGGAGAGCGTAACCTACATATCCTCTCCCCTACTTTCTGCCTGCTTTCCCAACCTGTTAGACCTATCCCCCCCCCCCCCCAATGTACTGTCAATTTTCAGATAGAGTGTTCACAGCCCCTGCCATCAGGCTGAAGGGTTTTACATGAAGCATACCACCCCCCTGCTATGCCAGCTCCACTGCCTGCAGGTCCATCTCCAAGCCCAATTCAAAGTGCTCGTTTTGACCTATAAAGCTCTATATGGTTCTGGCCCAGCTTACATGTCCCAATGCATCGACCCCTACATCCCACCTCATAATCTAAGATTATCCAGGGAGGCCCTGCTCTCGCTCCCGTCAACAGCACAGATGCGCCTGGCGGGGACGAGAGACAGGGCCTTCTCGGCTGTGGCCCCCCGCCTATGGAACACTCCCAAATGAGGTAAGATCCGCCCCTCCCTCCTGCTTTTAGAAAAAAAAAATCATGGTTTTGGGACCAGGCCTTCAGGCAGTAGAAGTAAATGTATGCAGCATTTTGGAAAGACAATGACTGGAATGGCGATTCGACGGACAAGACTGTTTTATTGTTTTAATGATTTTTTTATTGCTCATGGATGTATTTTTTAAATTTAATTTATGTGTCATTGTAGTGTATAATTGCAATTATTTGTACTGGCATTGGATTTTTGCCATTACTTATGTGTAAACCGCTTTGAGTCCCCCTCGGGATGAGAAAAGCGGTATACAAATACTGTAAGTAAATAAATAAATAAATAAATAGATTCCTTGCTAGAATTGTGGCCAAATATTAACAAGTCATCCTGTGGCATGGAAAGGATTGTTATTTGGTACACCTACTAGACAGATAGTGCTACTTTAACTTGACAATTGAAGTCTGAAAAAGGATCAGTTAAGTAATGTCTTTTTATAGTCAACGGGATGAGTGGTCCCTGTAGACTTTTCTTTGTTTATTGTTGTGCTATATAAACATTGATAGTCCATATTCCAGAGGCTAATTTACTCCCGTATCCACTGGTATCTGTGGTTTCATTTATCCACATCCAGTAAAAGATGTCCTCTCTAGGCATTTTCTAGATCCCCCAGCATTATTCTATTGTATTTTGGGTGATATGTCATTCATTTCAATAAGGTTCACTATAATTTACAATTTCAAGTATCCCCACAAATTGAATCCCCTGCAATACAGGGCTCACACTGTAGAAACAAACAAGGGATTGTACCACACCCACCCTCTTCTTTTTAATTGAGACTTTCTAAATTTATTGGCTATAGGAGTAGCTAAGAGAAGGAAGACAGGCCTATATAATGAAGACAGTCTTGAGAGGGAGTGTCTCAGACCCATTTACAAAGCATTGGGTGAAAGGAAGATAATAATTTCTGCAAGTTAAGCAGGGCATATCGTTCCTCCTTAACTTTTTGTTGGTGAATAAATGAGTTCTCTAAAAAATAAACCAACTAAAGCTCTCATATATCATAAATCAGAATGATTTAACAAATGGAACTTAATAAATAGCAAAGCATTTCAGTTTCTACCCTTTTCAGTTGTTAAAAACCAAAACAAGCAAAATTCAAGGAGTTCTTGAAAGTATTGATAAATGTATCAACAGGTTTGTCTACTGAGACTTCAAAAAGGATTTTGACAAAGTTCCACATCAAAGTCTCCTCCGGAAACTCAGCAGTCAGGGAATAAAAGAAGCCAATCCATAAAATGGATTTGGTCTTACACACTGATTAAACAAAAGAAAGCACAATGTAGACAATGCTTTTTTTAACTTGGTCATAAATGACTCTTGAGTTATGGGTTCGTCAATGGAATTTGTTGCATTTCCTAGTGACACCAAATTCTTTGAATTAATGAGAACAAAAATTGATTGAAAGGTGCTTCAAATCACTCTATTCCATTGACAGGATGAGAAATAAAATGGAAAATGGGACTGAACTCAAACAAATGCATATTTCAAGGGGAGAGGGGGTATCCCAACTTCACATAAAGGATCTAAGATGGCTTATCACTTCCAAAGTCATAGGCATATCAGTCACAGGGGGATCCCGAATTGAGGGTTCAGCTGCAGTCAGGTCCTGCTGGCAGGCTTGCTACAGTAACTATGGTTGACTGGTCTGATCTTGCGAGGCTCTTCATGCATTCTTATTCTACAAGGAACTTTTCCCAAAGGAAATCAGTTGACTATGTTAACATCACTTCTATTAAGTAGAGATATATTATGTCACACTAGTAATTGTATCTCAAATATATAACCCTTTTAAAAGATCTAATTACAGTCTCAAAGACATTTGGAATGCAGGATTTTGGCATAACAACTATCGGGTGACTCAGACAATAAAACTTACGGAAGTGCTACCCGATGATTCATTGTTTTTTTCTACTTTATCCTTCTTCCTCTTCTTTTCTTTTTTATGTTTTTTGGAATGCTTCTCCTTTTTCTTCTTTTTTGTAGCAGAGTGTTCCTACATAAAGGAACATTTGTATCAATATGTCAGGCCAAAAGCATCAAGGTATGGCTTATACTGTCATTTCTAAATTGCACAGCATCTTTAATACCAAATAAAACAAGACACTTTATCTCCCCATTGCTTCTGGCTCTCCAGTTTAGATTCAAATTTAACTTACACAAAAAACAACAACAAAAGCTGCTTTTTAATAATAATAATAATAATAATAATAATAAACTTTATTTATACCCCACCACCATCTACCCAAGGGGAGTTGGGCGGCTTACATGAGGCCACACCCATTAATACAGAAAACACAATATAACCAAAAACACAACAGTACAAGTTATATTCTGAAAGCCATTTAAAGGTTAAAATGCAATACTCCTTCCCTATTTTTTCACACAGAGTCCCAATTTGGGAGATAAGTTTTGGTATAAATAATGTTTATCATAATCATCAATATCATCAAGTGTTCCAAGCCCACACAGTCTGTGAACAAAAGGATAATAGCCCAATTGCACATGCTCCATTATACAAATTGCACTATGAATTTTTTTTTTTGTTCCTGGGTCATAAATGTCATTTCCTATATGGTTCCATCATAAAAACATGGAAAAAATTTATGAAACTAGAAGCACATTTTACTATAGATTTTCAATGAATATCTCAGAGTCTCAACCATTTCAACATGGTTTGTGGCAGCCACAAAAACAATGTTTCTGGAGTATAACAACTACTTTCAAAGTAAGTACTGCACAATTAAACAGGAATTAAAAAAAACTTTCAAACCAGGAACAGATTTTTTTTAATTGTTACATTATCAAAGAACTTTCTGAATAGGATATACATACTGGTGGTGCACTATAATTGGGTTCTGGCTTGCACTAGAATGGTATGCTAGGCAGCAAAAGCATACAAGATTTATTACACTCCCTTCTCTAAGCCTTAGGCTATCTACTGTATGTACTCATGTACAAGTCTAGAAAACTTAGTCAAAAAATCAACCCAAAAACATGGGAAAACATGCATGAATCAATGTAAGTACTGTATATTCTAGGCCAGTTTATTATCTGGAATTATATTATTAAATAGACTTTGATATTTGTTCTCAAACAGGGGAAATGGACTGCAAAAGGAGAAAAGTGCTTTTAAAAACCAAAAATTAAATATGACAGCAATTGGAACATCAGCGCTCTGTTTTTGACGGAAGAGTGAGGTTTGAGTGTTCAACTATGACTCTGAAGACCACGGTTCAGCCATGGAAACCCACTTGGACAAGTCACTCTCAGCCTCAGAGGAAGGCAATGGTAAATGTTCTCTGAACAAATTTTGCCAAGAAAACTTCATGATAGGTCCATCTCAAGGTTGCCGTAAGCCAGAAATGCCTTGAATGCATGCAACAACAGAAGTGATACTGTGAATTAATAATAGTCCATCACTAGTTTTCATTCATTAATCCTACAAACATTACTTTTCTTAAGTCTTCTAAACGATCATTCACATCAGAGAGCATCCATGTATCTTCCCCCCGAAGTCGTTTCAATTCTTCCTTTCGCTCTTTTTTTTCATAATCAGCTTTTGCCTACAATGAAAAAACCCAGAAAGGTAGTTATAATAAATACTGATAGAGTACAAAACATGTACTAATTTACCATGGCACTCGCATTTAGCTGTCCATCCTATTTCTGAAGATGTTGAGAGAAGGAGACCCCACCACCTCTCTAGGCAATTGGTTGCAGTGCCAAAATACTCTTACTTTCTAATATTCAACCAAAATATAACCTCCCATAACTTAAAACCATTATAACTGGCTTAATATCATGCGAAAGCAGAAATTAGACCTGCCCCTTCCTCTCTACAGATGTCCTTGAGGTATTTAAAGAGTGTAATCATGTCATCCTTTTCCTGGTCTTTTCTTCACCAAGCTGAAGATGCTCATCTTCTTCAACTTTGTCTCATATGTTAGGTTCTCCTTGCTTATAATCCTTGCTGCCCTTCTCCTAACCCACTCCAACCTCTTTAAATCCTTTTTAAAATTAGGTGCCCAGAATTGAATACAATACTCCAGAGGAGGTCTGACCTATGATGAATATAATGAATTATTATTTCCTTCAAGTTGGTAACTTTGCTTCTATTAATTCATGCAAAAACAGCATTTGCCTTCAAAGCTAAGAACAAAGTACAAGTTCTAATAGAACATGACCTTTAGCTTTTCAGTAGAACTGTGAAGAGATCCAGGACAAAACTGAAACTATTTTGTCATAATGAACATCTAGTCAAAAGGTAGCTTGGGATACTAACCACATAATAATGCCAATTATCTTTCAGTGAACAGGCCCTTGGTATCTATCGAGGTTTGGTTACAGGATGCCATTCTCAATGTCCAATTCCCATTATATACATCAACATAGTAGAATGGTTCACTTTTGGGATTTATTTTAATATTTTCAAACTGTAGATGGCTGAGTCTATAGATACAGAATCCATGGATAAAAAGGGCTGACTATTAATTAATCAGAAACAGTTAAATGTAATTTCTGAATCTAGATTTCACTCCTGAAACTAAAAGTCACCTTTTGGGACCAATATAACAAAAAGAACAAGCAGTAAGTTAAACTATTAAAGGGGGGCGGGGGGAGAGAGAGAAAGGAGAAAGTACATTCTATTGTAGGTGGCTACAACATTAGAAATAACTGTCTGGACAAAACAAGCCATTAGACACCTCCTTAATTAAGATGCATCACTTCTCTTCTTGTCTTCAATGACATTTTCCTATAAGTAACAAGAGTCCGCAACAGAATTTCTGCACTATTTCCATCTCCCCAAAGACACGCATTACAGTTCCTTCCTCTCTAAACATTCCATTATCCTCAAATTTAGATCTCTCACTTCCAACACCCCACTGATTATTTTGTTGTCACTCAAAGTCACACAGAAGTAACCTCTTGTTCCATTTGCCTAATGCAATCTTACACAGCTCACTGACACCAATCTTTCTCTCCCATTCTGTATTTTTATAATTAAATCCCCAGCTAGTTGCAAGTTTCTTTCCTGTGCAATAAAGCCAAACCTAATTGCTACACATATCTTAACTCTCACCAAGTGCACACATTTTATTTTGAGCCAGAGCTCATTAGCACAGTCCAATATCACAGAAATGCCCAGCATTTCAATCACTGCATTAAATATTTATTTATTTATTTATTTATTTATTCACTTGTATACCGCTAATATCTCAGCCTAGGTCGGCGACTCATTGCGGTTTACAACAATTAAAAAAACAGTCTCCAATTTAAAACATACACACATACAATACAAATTATTGGGCCACCAATAATAATCCCATGCATCTCGAACTAAAATCATAATCCAGAATTCGTTGTCCATGGTTACCTGTCCTTAGTCACCAAAATTCGATTGCAACGGATTAGCCGAATGCTTGTTTAAACAACCATGTTTTCAATCTCTTCCGAAACACCATCAGCGAAGAGGCTGATCGTACCTCTATAGGGAGGGTGTTCCAAAGCCGAGGGGCCACCACAGAGAAGGCCCTGTCTCTCGTTCCCGCCAGCCGCACTTCTGAAGCCGGAGGGACAGAGAGCAGGGACTCTCCAGAAGATCTTAGGGTCCTGGTGGGCTGATAGGCTGAGATACGTTCGGATAGATATGTTGGGCCAGAACCGTTTAGGGCTTTAAAGGCCAATGCCAGCACTTTGAATTGAGCCCGGTAGCATATCGGCAGCCAGTGGAGCTGGTGCAGCAGAGGAGTTGTGTGCTCCCTGCGCCCGCTCCTGTTAGTATCATGGCTGCCGCCCGTTGGACTAATTGGAGCTTCCGGGCTGTCTTCAAAGGCAACCCCACGTAGAGAGCGTTGCAGTAGTCAAGGCGGGATGTAACCAGAGCGTGGACTACCGTGGCTAAGTCAGACTTCCCAAGGTACGGTCGCAGTTGGCGCACAAGTTTTAACTGTGCGAATGCTCCCCTGGTCACCGCCGAAACCTGGGGTTCCAGGCTCAGCGCTGAGTCCAGGATCACACCCAAACTGCGAACCTGTGTCTTCAGGGGGAGTGCGACCCCGTCTAACACAGGCTGTAACCCTATACCCTGTTCGGCCTTACGACTAACCAGGAGTACCTCTGTCTTGTCTGGATTCAATTTCAATTTGTTCGCCCCCATCCAGACCGTCACAGCGGCCAAGCACCGGTTCAGGACCTCGACATTTCACCTCATGTCATGAGCAGAGGCTGCATTTAACTTCTATTGTTGCAAGCACATTAGAAAGTCTAATGCTTCGAAGTACCTAACAGAGAGACATTTCCATTTCCCTTTTTCACACACATCCACCTTCACACACACCAGCCACTGTGAACAGGAACTTCTGGGATTAACACTTGAAGATATGTTTGTGGAATGGCCCTTAAAATTACTGAAAACTCCCTGCAATAATATATCAGTACTAAAAATAAACATATTTTGAATCCATCAAAGAGGTCAATCTGACTGTCTTCATCACACCATTTTGTGAATCTCACTATATTTAAGAACTACTGGAGAATGTGGTAGCCTCTCAGTTCCAAGTGTTCCCAAAATGAGATAGATTATCTAATCCCATTTTGGTCTGGCTTCAAGCCAGGTTATGGGAAAACTTCAATTGATATCAGCCTTGGTGGATGATCTATGGTACAAAATGGACAGAGGGAATGGGTCTCCTTTGTTCTGCCATGATGTTCTTCTGAGCTGACTTGCAGAGATGGAACTCCAGCAGTGGCTCTATCTTTTTTTGGAAGCGAAAACACGGAAGGTAGTTCAATGGGATTCCTGCTGAAAACCTTGGCTATTGGCCTGTGAGTTCTCAATGGGTTTTCCCCACCCCTACCCCTTACTATTTAATGTATAAATTACACCACTAGGAGAAATTGTCTGAGAACAGACATCGCCAGTATGTTGTTAGGATCCAGTTAGATGTCTCCTTTCTATCTGATTCCAAGGAAGTGGTTTCCATTCAAAACCAATGTCTAGATGATGGCAAACAAATACAACCTTAAATCAGACAATGGCAGATTAGGAAATAGGGAAGAACCTCGTGTCAGATTTGGTTGTGCTTTTCCTGAAGATAGAGGTTCAAGTTTTTATGTACTACTGGATTCAGCCTTGAACTAGGTTTTATGTGGTAAGTATTACTTGGAACCCCCGGTGGCACAATAGGTTAAACCCTTGTGTCGGTCAGCTGTTTAAATCCAGGGAGAACAGGTTTAGCTCCCTCTGTCAGCTCCAGCTCCCCATGCAGGGACATGGGGAGCTGGAGCCTCCCACAAAGATGGCAAAACATCAAACATCCAGGCATCCCCTGGGCAATGTCTTTGCAGATGGCCCATTCTCTCACACCAGAAGTGACTTGCAATTTAAGTTACTCCTGACATGGAAAAAAAACCTATGACTTAATTTGTACAGCTAAGCAGTGACCAGCCACATTATGTCTAATTTGGCCACAGTAGTACATGAGTTGGTTGTATTAAATTTGCACTCTATATGGAGCTGATATGCAAGACTGCTCAGATTATTAATTGGGTCTGACTACAGGAAACAAGCAATTCCTTTGCAAACAGTTTCCTTCCAGCTTGCCCATTTCCAAGCATGGTCCAAAGTATAAGCTCAAGTCCAGACTATTTGAAGGACTGCAACCTTCTATAGGAGTTATCCAGGGCTCTAGGGTCTTCAGAAAAATATGCACCTTTCAGACCCAACCCTGTTCCAAGAACATTTAGTGAGACAAAGGAAGTATTCTCGGCTGTTAATCCCAAACTTTAGAATCCCCCCTTAAGGATATTAATATTATTTCCACTTTGCTGTAAAAACAATGGGATGCACATAATAAAATAATAACTGCATCATGTAATAGCCATTAAAATCGACGTATTTCAAAACACAAAAGTTGTGCACCCCTGACTTACAGAATAGTGCTCCAAGTGATCTGCTGTAGCGGTTTTTATATAAAGACTGATTTTTTTCCCTAAAGATTTGCATAAACTTATTTGAGAAATCCAATCAAACTGAATTAGAAGAGTATTTGGAAGCAAACTGTAGAATACAGGCAGTCCCCAAGTTACAAACATCTGACTTCCAAACAACTCATACTTAAGAATGGGGGTGATACAACAGGAAGTGAGAAAAAACTACCCCTAGGAAGGGAAATTCACTCCTGAAAAGTTATCATGGGGAAAAGGTGTCTCCACTAAAGATTTATCACCAATCTTTGTTTCCATAATAAGCCAAATTTTTCAGAATCCATTATCACAGGGACAGAAAGTGAGGTGAAATTTTCTGAACAGGAGCACAGATAGCAAAACAAACACAACAAGGGTGTTGACCCTTCCTATGCTATCCAAAGCTTGGAGACTGCCTGTACCTCTATTCATATAACTGTCCACAAAATCCTCCTTATTTATTTATTTTGAACATTTATATCCCTTCCTTCTAAACCCCAGAAGGGGGACTCAGGGCGGCTTACAACTGGCAATCATTAGATGCCTTTTCCCCTTTCTTATTATTCTTTTATACTGGCCATCTATTCTTCCCAGCACA